TGTATCTTGTACTACCCTTCTATAATTATATCAGTAATCATGAAACTGATTTATTTAAAATGGGGTAGAGAAAGTGTGGTGTTTTGGTTTTTAATTCCTGGCCCTCCTCATTAAGTGACTGCAAAATATTCCTGATTGCTTATGTGCTGAGTGTCTCTGTGGTGGACTATCCATGAGTGCTGAAGAAGCAGAAAGATTCTCCTATTGGAACTGACAGTGGGTCTACTGGCTGCAGCTAGAAAATGCCCTCAAATGTTTAAGTAGCAAATATATGGTATTCAGCTTTTTTAGAATTGTTTGGGATTCTTTCAAATAACAACTTTGCATTGGAAAATGCTTATTTGTTAAAACTCTTAATTAAACAATCTATTTGTTTTCTTAGTCTCATGAAAATGTGGAAGAGGGTTTTGTGGGTTTTATGTTTTTGTAAACATCTCTGCAGTTTTCCTGTGCAGGGATATTGAGGAAGAAAGAGGAAGAATTTACCACATTCCTCCCTGGTGATGTGGAAAACTATGGATGAGATTCAAGTCCCACTTAGACTGGGAAGTACCCTGAGTGAGAGGCAACTGTGATGAGATGTAATAAATCCAGCTGTCTATTTAAATAGTATTCATGTTTTAAATAGACATGAAACACTATCCCATTAAGGCAAATGTGTCCACTACCATTCCTCATAATAACCACCTATTGTCCAGGTTCTTGGTTATAGGTAATAGGTTTTCTCATGGATAAAATACTCACAAAATAAATTCTTCCACATTTTCAACAAAAAAAACCAAAAAAAACCAAACCAGTGACACAATTGTTATTATCTGGTTTAGTGGAAAGATGAAGTACAGGAGAAAAAGTGTGTGTGCTCTGAAAATGAAGTATTGTTCAAGAGTATTGAAAATTGTCTTTCATGAAAAATATGTTATAGCTCAGAGATTGCTCCGAAGGGAATTATTTTTTGTATTCTCTGAAGGTATTTTCAATAATATATAAGGAGTTGGTTCCTCAATAGAAACTACAGTTGTCCTGAGTGTATCAGGGTAAAGCACATCTTTATATGAATTTTGCTGCTCAGACTATGCTTAGATTTTGGATTCTTTCTCTTGGACTACTTAGCTGAGTAGAAACTCATATTATTTTTTGGCCTATTTGTTACAAAGCTTCTGACCTGACTCCCAGTGAATATCCTTTTCCTGAGTACTACCTAGGCCCCTTGGAGCTAGCTTGAAAGAGATGAAAATGTGTCTCAGCACAAAGAATAAGAATGTTCCCACTCCCTCTTATAAACTGAGAGGTGAAGGAGCTTGAGCTCCAATGTGCTCTCCAGTTATTCATTCTGGGAATAAGTAGAAACTACCATTTCTTGGTCTTTCCTTTCACAAGTTGTATAACTTTTTTGCACTCCTCTTGAAGTATCTCCAGTCAGAGGCCAGGACATCTTTGTCATAGCCATTTTATTATACAGAGTGAAAAGGTTTCCTGTTCCAGCCTTTACTATCCGAATAAAGAGAATTACATAAGGCATAAAAGAAGTAAGCATAGGAGAACTGAACTGGAATTAAATATCTATTAACCCCAGTCTCCCTCTTAAAAAAGCCCAACAACTTTGCAGAGCAATTGGTCAGCTACAAAAACATCCATGCTGTAGTAATGAGGATGCAGTTGCTCCCTTCTGAGGCAGTGTTTTGGTTTAATTTGAATTTTTTGATTAATACACTAAATAATGTTATTGTTTTGATTTGTCAATTTAAATATATTTCTTTTCTGTTGTGAGACAGAACTAGGAGTAGAAGTAAGGCAGGCTAAAACTTAAAAGGTTATAAAAAGAAATTTATTAGCTACTCAAAAAAAGGAAAAAAAAACAAATTTAGAATAAGATTTTCAGACTACTTCTTTCTTCCCTCTCCCAACTTTCATAACAACGAAATAAACATACAAAAAACTACTTCAGTTAGTTTCCAACTTAAATAGTCTTTTTTTTCAGTTTACTTCGGAGAGAGAAATTTTCTTTCATCGGGCTATAGGGACTTCTTTACAAGGAGGAAGAAAACAGTCCTCTCGTGGTTTCACTTTCATGATTTGCATCTGCCTGGGAAGAAACTTGCAAAGTCGTGTGACTTTTCTTATCTTCACAGCTTTCCCAAAGCTGTGCTTATGGGCCATGTTGAACTCATGGGGTAGTACTTTTAAGAATGAATTGTTCTAAAGCAAAAGTTCTCTTTATTTCTTTTCTTTCTGTTTATGCTTCATCTTCAGAAATCAGAGATCCCTTTGTTTCCTCGGGGCAAAAGATTGTTAAAACAGGTGCTTCTTGGTCAAATGATTCATTAAATTGAACACTCCAGCTTCCCATGTCTTTTTTCTATGGTTTATAGAAATATTTACTGTAGCATCAGTTCATCCTTGCAACGTACAAAAGGATTTTTTAGCCAACTTTTATAGCATTTTCTCATTTTTTTCCTATCTTAAAAATTAACTCTTGATTCACTGACTTCGGAGTATTTTCTTTTTTCCTTTTTATATGTAAAGGAAAGGTGGAGGTTTGTAAAATTTTAGCTGATCCACAGTTCCATGCAGAGGATCTTTTTTAAAAATATTGACTTTCTGTTGCAGTGCATAAACTCTAAATTACTAAACTACATAAATATTTAAGTGAATTCAGCTTTACTGGCAGACATGCAGTTCTCCTGCAGCTGAGATTTTTGTTTATGTACCTTCTCACTATTGTGAGAGAGTTATAGTGCAGGTAGCTTTTTTTTTCTTTTTTTTTTCATGATAGAAGGTTTTAAGAAAAAATTGTAAGAAATTCCAACTATTATGATAACATTTTTATTCTACTTTGGCTCTTAGGGATTCAGTATGTCACAAGTTTTTTTTATCTGGCCTTTTGGCAACACTTAACCAGCTTTTTCTAGCTATCTTGTACTTGCAATCAAAAATCAGCAGGAAATATTTTTGTTCAAAACATTTAACATTTAAGAAAAAAAATTGTCAGAATTCTTGGTATAACACTGAATTTTCTATAGGATTTTAAACACAGAGGAAAAAGAAAATTATATCATCAAATCTTTGAGCTTAGGGTACTTTTATGCAGAAGTCACCCGGATTTATCATTGATTTTCTTACAGAGGTGGCTGCAACAGCAGCCCTTGATGGCACAAGGGTGCCCATGAGAGCATGGCCCAGAGCAGGCTGGAGCAGAGTCCAGCATTTTGGATTCCTGCCTGGTGCCTGTGCCAGATGGAGCACTGACCTGTCTGGGCAGCTGCATGCTCCTCCATCTCTGCACTGTAGCCTGCTGAACCCTGTAGCCTTGCCTTCAGACCTGTTGCTCTTCAGGTCCCCTGGGATTGTATCTCCCCCATTCAACCAGACATCTCCAGCTCCTAATTTAGTCCAAGGACGTAAAGAATGGATGCCATCAGGTTGCATAGAAGAATGAAACTATTAAAATAGCAAACAGCTGATATTTGTATTTTATTTTTAGCTTATTTCCTGTTGTTTTCCTGTGGTTGCTGATGTCACAAAAGTTTCCTTTCTAGTCGCTTTGCTTAAAATATACATACATTGTGCATATATGCACCTTCATGCCAGAGCTTGGTGTTAGATTCTCCAGTGTGTTTGCTTATGAATGAGGTAGTATTGGCTCAAACTCCTTGAGAATGAGAACTGCAAGGAACTTGGAGAAGGCCCTTTCCTTGAGGCTTTTCCTTCTTCTGCAAACACAGCCCTGAGAATTTGGATGCTCAGCAGGCTCTGTTCCCAACCTGTGTGCTTGTAGCATGAGCAAGCAGACATTTTGCCTGACAGACACACAGCAGAGAGTAGAACTTCAGTCTTGGCCCAAACACTGAATGTCTCTTCTTCACTTCACAGCAAAGTATTGAGTCAACATTAGTCCCCTGCAGGATTTAGTGTCAGAATGAATCAATCATCAGGAGTTACCATGTCTATATGGGCTGTATAGGGAGAGTAGGGTCTTCAAATGCTATAATAGGATGATGTCCCTGGAGGTGTCATGTGGGTTTTTGCTCTCTCCATTCTATTTTTAATTCCCATTTGAAGTGAGTTTGTTGAGTCATGCAGGACTAAAATAAATGCGACAGACAATAATTCAGCTTCCTTATTTCTTGCCCTATTCATGTAATGACCAGACACTCTTCGTCTTCCTAATTTCCCATCTCCTCCCCCATATCCATTCACTTCCTGAATTTCTTTGGCTTATAATAACACCACAAAGCCCATATGATTACTCATTTAGACTTATTGTTTCCTTTTTTTTCCTGAGGGGTAGCCAATTCTCATAAATACAAATTATTCCTGAACAGGTAAATTTTAGCACATGCAGCATTGAAATCACATGTCAGGTATTACAAGGAATTCCTAGTCTTTCATAAGCAAACATGCAATTAGAAATTGTTTATTTATTTATTCATTCCCTGCTGGGCATTTGCTGGAGTTGGAAAGAAGAGGAATTTTGTCAAAAGCTAACTTTCTGTGTGTTTATTTTCCCATTATTTTCTTACTGCATTAGAGTGCAACAGAACCAGAATTTTTACACAGTACTGCATGTTCAGTCCTAATGCCACATAATAATTTTCACTACAACATCATGTCCAGTGGCAGCTGAGGCATGAAATATCCATGCTTTGTTCAAAATGTTCTGTTCTTGGCACATTTGTGTGCATGTTTTTTAAAGAATCTGTAGATGTCTCTAGTGAGGGAGTTCTGTTTGTACTGAAGTGACATTAGGAAGTCCTGGCTTCCTAATGTTGGGATTTGACAATTGTCCATCTGGGATCTCAGAACTTCACGTGTGAAGTCAGTTCTCCTTCTGTGTCACTGGGTAGTGAGTAGCCACAGCTTCCATTAGAGGTCCTTCAGCAGAGTGTCTACATGATAGGCACACTCTTAGAGATGGTACATGGTGCCCCCTGTAGCCTTCTCCAAGTGTAATGTGCATATACATTCTATTTCAACTTCTCTTAATTTTCTTCTTCTCCCAGGTATTACGACAACTTTACCCAGTGCACAGAACGTGAAGCCAACAATGCAAGTTGCTTTTGGCCAAACCCCCTTGCAGAAGGCTTTATCACTGGAATTCATAAACAATTCTTTTCAAACTGTACTTCAGAGAAGGTTCACTGGGAAGATCCACCGGATGAAATTCTCATAACACTGATCTTGATCCCGGTCATGTTGACATGTGCCATGATAACACTGGTAGTATGGTGCAGCAAGAGAAGTGATATCCTGGTGTAAGTTCTTCCTCTGGGCTTTCTTTTTCTTCATTTCTTTACTCCCTAAACACTAAGAGAGGAGGACGAAGAGAGGAACTTGGCATAAAGATTTCATATCTGCTGAAATGGAACCAGTGAGATACTGAGATGCTCCTGTGAAAGAAGAGCTGCGTGCTGCTGCTGCAAGTCACTGCTTCTGTCTTGACCATGAGTGCTGCTGGTGGAAAACTTTACTTCCATTGAGCCTCATCAGCATGGAATTCACAGGCAGCTCCCAGAAACAGGAGAGTTCCCAGGCAAATGGACCCCTTGTCTGCAAAATGGATAAAGTTACTTTTCTATGGGTAAAGCTGGCTGGTAAAGTTTTGCAAAGCTGTATGTCTGTAGTACGGACTGTGGAGGAAGTTACATTTCTTGAGGTTTTGTGCAGGACACTCGAGGTTTTCATCTGTGATTTGGCAACATCACTGGCAAAAGGAGCTGATTAACTGATTAACCTGGATGTAACCAGGTGGCAGCTTTTCCTAGAAGCTAGTCAAAATCATAATTATCAAAACCGGGAAGTATTGTTCTGGCAAAGAAACAATTTATGTGTCCAGTGACTATCTGAACAGGGAAATTATCATGCAACATTATAAAATAGTTTATAAAATTCCTTTAAGCATGGCTGCTAGGAATTGTATGTCTTACTAACAAACTCTGGGACGATGTACAAGTCTTACTTTACAGAGCTGGAAAATGTGAGAGGAAATTGGTTTATTATAAATATACTAAGGAGTAATGAAGAAATTTTCATATGCCAGACTCTTTATTTTTCCTCTTTTATAATTATTATTCTTGATGACTTGTGTTCACTGTATATTCCCCACACTCACTTCAATTTGTGCAAGTGATATCCTACAAATAAATATAAAGGTGTCATGTTGATTGAGGTGCCTTTCAGATTATTGTACATAAATGATTCTTTGTCCTGTGAAGAGTGTGGGAACTAAAGTATGAACATCAAAACTTGGACTAGAAGTAGAAGGAAAGAGAAAAAATTCAACTCAGAAATCTTATTCTATCAAGTTATGTAATAGTTGAAATAAAGATCATATGCTCAAAACAAAAGAAATTTGTTTTGCAAACCTTCTTTTCACAACATGCCTTCAGTCCAATGCTCTTCTATGACAAATGTGCAGTGTCTGTTACAAGTGACTTTTCATTTTTCTATACCTTATGCACACAAATAAAATACAGTTGAAGGGTCTAGCAATTGTGTTTTATATGTTTTATAGTTAGATTTTCTCCTTTAAGATTCGGGCACTGTGTTTGACACTTAGGTCTGTGAGTATGAAAAGTATTTCCATGCTTGAATCGAATTAGAAGTGCTTAATTTACTAGATTATTTATACATTGTTTATAGAGAAAATAAACAACCCCTGTAAGTTGTACTGGTTTGTTTTCATGTCCTTTCACAAGGGTTGAATGCAACTTGTTTTTTCATTACACTAATGTTGGAATGATTCAATTTCAAAAGTGTTTCCTGTGTGGTTTTCTAAAGACTCTTCCTCATTCTCTAGATGCTAGCAGAAATTGCTCTTTGTAAAAAAGAAGAGTGAAATAATGTACTAAGGATTTCGTTTAAATTTTATATTTATCTGTTATTTTCTGTATTAAAATGCTTTGAACCACCACAAGAGTGGTCAGTTAAAAAGCCCATCCCATTCATTTTATCCAAAATATTGTTTGGTTAAGCATTTTGTGTGGCCAAAACCTGTCTTATATTCTGCATAGAGTTTTCTTTTAATCCTCTTTTTACTTAAACTTTAGCAAGTTCAGGGCAAGTTTCAAAACTAGTTTGGAAACCACATAGAAAAATTCTGACTTTTAAAAAGCCACATGAATTTCAACCTAATTGCTGTGTTTGAAGCAAATTCTGGACCATTTTTGACTCATTTGAAATTGCGTTCACCTGATGAACAGGTTGCCTGAGCGATATCAGTCAACTTAATTTATAAAACAGATTGGCCTGGGTACTAAGTAAAGAAGAAAGCTTGATTACTTCATACCATTAGATATGTACTATGATCTTTAAAAGAATTCTATGTTTAAAATATCTAGTTCCAAGTCTTTAAAAATGTAAGATCCAAAGAAATAGAAATAGTATATTTTACTTCATGTGCCATGGAATAGGAGTAGAGGTTTCTGGCACTAGTCTGTGCTTTGGAGGTGAAAATTTATTTATTGTTGTGTGTCTTCCTCATCCAAGTGTGATCTTCCATTACTTTTTATATAGCTGAAGAAGGGCAGAGAAGTTGAAACAGTGCATGGGAAATAACACTGATTATTTAATGTAGCCTTAGTGGATTGAAGCTGAGAAATATTTATAGTGCTTTTAGGAAAAAAGCACCTGCAGTAGTTAGTTCTTAACAGCTGTGTGCATTAAAATTGGGACCCAGAATGATAATTGTTGAATCTTTTGACATAGGTTGTACTATGTATTAACGAAAGTCAGTGGTTATTTTTTGCTGCATGGACCTTGCTACCTCTCCCCCAAAGCCTGTTTCCATTGGCAAGAAAATCATATCTGGTACCAAGAATCTGGCTCATTTATTAATTGCAAATTAATTTGATGTCACAACAGAGTCTCAGGAATAAAGATATTCAAAAAGAAAGAAAATAACTTGTTCGAAATCCGTCCTAGAACTGGAACAGTGGTTGATCCTCAGAAATATTTAGGCCAAAGGAGAAGTGACAGCTAGCTGAGATTGCTAATTACTGTGAGTTGTGGGATTTTTTGCTTTCAGTAACAACTGGGGAAGTGTGTATTTCCATAAGAGCTTCAGCAAAGAGTTAACCAAAAGAAGGCAGAGAGGGCTGTCATCTCTTTCAGGAAAAATAGCAGGAGGCCAAAGGAGGAACAGAGCTCCTTCAGGGTAAGGACAGAGATGATCAAGAACACAAAAAATTCGGTACTTTCTCCCAAGAGTATGACCTTACCATAAGCGGGTTAGTAGCAAATATCCCTTTGGGGCATTGGTAAGGAATGGTGAGGAACTCCTGCATGCTGCCTGCCTCTGTCCAACGTTCCTGAGGAGGGAATCAACAGCCTATGTCATTTCTGGCATCCCCACAATTAGATGAATGCATATGGTGCAATGCCCTTCTACACAGTCTGGGCATCCAAATGAATTTACAGGAACGCTCAACTTTTGTGCCCCTTTTTTGAGTGGTGTAGCTGGTGTCTCTTCCTGTCTAAATGTCATGTGTGGATCCTGGCAGCAGGTGTCCACCTGCTCCAATACATTGGCTCTTATGGAAACTGAAACGAAGTACGAATTTTGCAAGGCAGCAAGATGTAATGCTGACGTGCTGGACGTTATTTTGCTTCAGTCTTGATCGTCAAAAGCGTGAGGTATTTCAGAAAATGAAAGGTCCTGAGCTGTATTTGTAAAGTCTGAGTTCCATAGGAGAAAAAGAAAACGTATTTTTTTTAGCTCATAGGTTGTTTGGAAGGATAAGGACAATTAGTGACTGTCATTGCTTCTGAATACAAGAAGAATGGAGCTCTCTGTGTGCTTTGACAGAAATACTTATGAGCATGCAGTGGTGTCTTAACACTCAGAAGTGGACATAGAAAAAGCTGTTGAATTTTAGTTAAAGAGTCTGTGTTACAGCTAATTTAACAGAATTTTGAAATAAGAATCTGAGACCCTCAGATAATTCAGTGGATTTGATAACAAAAGCAAATTTTCTGCATAGTAGGAAATCTGAGGAGCATTGAGACTACTACCTTGTCTTTAGCTGAACTCTCAGCAGAACATTTTGAAAGGACACAAATAGTAATGGTGCATAATAGGCATAATGTGTCAAGACCAATTGTGCTGAAACACTTGGGGAGTGGAGGCAGACCCAGGTGGTCACAGGCAGTAAAAAGGTTCCACCCTGCAGCTGCTGTGAGAGATAACTCTGCTTGGAAGTGTCTGGAGACACATCAACCTGGTGCTGTACTCAGCTTTGAGGGACGTGCCTTTTGTGCCTTACACAGAAACCATCACTAATGTGATGGCCTGACTGCTGGAATGGAGACAGCTTCAAATGAGTTTGTAGATGTGCCCTTGTAGAGTTTCCTGGGAGTGAGTACAGACAAGACTACCAGGCTACTGTTTTCTTTTTTCTTTGGAACTTGCAGGGATGGCAGCAGCATAGCTGGAATTACTCCTTAGGATTTGACATTCAGATATAACTGAGTTCTGTCTAAATCCTTCATGGTTGGGTGTTTTTTTGTTTTAAAGTTTTTTACATCTAGGGTTTAGATATCTGCAAGAGAATAGGGCCTTATACTTCATTTTTGTCACATTATAAGGGAGACCCTTGGTTTTGGTGAGAATAATGGTAAGAAATGCTGTCAAAGAACCATCAAATGGGTCCTAGTGACAGTTTCACTGTAGGCTCAGCTACAATGTGGTAGATTACTAAATTATAGAGGATGTTCATCATGCTCCAGGTACCAGGTACCTTAGACCTGTTCCTCAGTGCCCTGTCTGAGTAGGAAATAATCTTGGAAGGATGCTATGAGCATAAGAAAGTGAATGATCACAAGTTACTTAGAGAATATTGAGTTGTAGAACATGCTTACAACAATCTAATGATTCAAAATGACAACAATTAGAAAACCAATGGGAAATACATGCAGGGAGAATTTTACTGATTCAGCCTATTTGGCTAATTGTTTTCCTTGTTGTTACTTGTTTTATTTGCAGTTATTCTTTTTTTTTAAAATGAATGGGCTAGAAGGGGGAAATAAGGAGCCTGTGCCTGTTAAAGCAGAGCCCTAAGCTTCTGTAAAATGTCATTATATTTCTCATCTATGATTAACATTAACATCGGTCTTTTGTCATCTTCATTCTCCTGCTGCTCAGAACTGCAGGAGAATGCAATTTCTGCCTGACAGTTTCAAAACCATTAAAGATTCAGAATGACAACAGTGGAAGCTTTTTAGCACATAGCTGCTTAAAAGTGAAATATGTTGGGTGACTTGGAAACTAACTGAACTATTCTTGGAGAGCACACCAGGGAACTGCATAGGTGTAGAGACAGTGAGAACACAGATAATTCCAATGACACAAATCACTTTAAATCCTAAGAAATTGTGACACATTTAATTGCTCACCTCATAAAAACAATCTTAGCTTGTAGTTAAAAAAAAATACTGGAGAAAACCTACTTATATATGTAAAAATGTACCTTATTTCTCTCTATTCTTTAACAGGACTATAACATAACTGCAAGGGGAATGTGCTGCTATTTTCCAGCTAATAGTTGTTGTATACATTATGGAGACTCCATGACTGAGTGTGAGTGGTGTATCTGCTCAACATTTGATGCATAAAGAAATTCTATATAAACCAGAAAATGTTATGTGGGTGCCTGTCACTGCAAAGAGGAAATCCCACTGGTTTATGTGTGTGAGAAGCCATTGGAGGCACATATGAGCACAGAGCCAAGCTTTATTAGAACCAAGACACTTGGGGAGACCAACTGATATCAGTCTTGGAGCTAATCTGTGTCTGATCAGACTCTTATACCACCAAAACATTCAGGTTTTGATAGATAATGTTGGTCTATTGTAAAAGCAAAGATACGTATTTTATGAGAACTGAACAGACAGGTTGTTTTGTTAGGAGCTTGGATAGGAACTAAATTTGAAAGCAGTTCCACATTCAGTCATTCTTATTTCAAATTACTGAAATGAGGCTTGGATTTGAGTGAGCTGTAGAAATCTAATTAAACGAAATACTTGCTTCTAGATAAAATAATACATGCAAAGTTACACTTTGATTTTTAAGTTGGTCTCTGCCCTTTACATGAATTTTAACCTGAGTGAAGAGAGAAGAGTGAAGTAAAATAAGCCAAATTATTTTATGACGTATCAAGAGTTTTGTTAATTTATTTAAATAATTAGTTATTTTTTATTGCTCTGGTTTATTTTGCAATTTTGACTTTGTATTAAAGTACATTACTTTCTTTAAGCTCAGCATGGATATTTTTTCAAAGACATGAAGGTATTAACACAGGCAACTGGTGCCTTGCTTTCTGTTTTAGTTTTGATGAAAATACTGGACACA